CTATATTCTTGCCTTTTCCAGCTTCTAGAAGCCACCCACATTCCTGGGCTCCTGGTTCTTCCTCTACCTGCAAACCTAGCAATGTCAGATCAAGTCCTCACACAGAATTCCCCTGACCTACTCTTCTTCCCTCTCCCCCCTTTTAAGGACCCTTGTGATTCATTGGGTCCACTGGATAATCCAGGATCTTTGTTCTAGCACTCTTTGCCATACAAAGTAGTATATTTAGGTTCCAAGGATTAGGGCAAGGACAACTTTGGGGGTAGGCATGGAATTATTCCACCTATCACACTATAAGACATCACTTGTTATTACCTAATTTTCTCTCTAAATTAGACAATCTAAGCAAGCTATCAGGACCATGTTATCTCTACTTTCCAGAGAAATGAATTACTTCAGTTATGCCTTAACATCTACCTTTATAGAGGATCCAAGGGTGATTGAACAACCTCTATATGATTTTTAGAAACAGCTGAAGTTATTGTCTGGCATACTATTAAATGTTCTTTTAATATAGCAGCCTACACTATAAATTTTTGCTGGAGTTTAATTCCAGGAAAACTTCTAATTCGGCAGATGGATTCATCAAATGCAAACAACGTGGACCACAGGATTGCCTGCCTTGCACTGGCGGTCAGAAAACTTCAGAATGAAATTCATCCCACTTCCTGTAGATAGTTTCTGTTTTGTTTTAACTCTTAAAAAAAAATTTCTTATTTTGGATTTTTAAAGATACCACAGTACTCTAAGAAGCAGTCATTTCTGTCTTAATAAATATAGAAGTTTCTATTAACCATTTTTCAAAAGAAGATCACTTTCAATGACTTTTAAAAAATTTACAAATGCTTTAGCAGGTTCAGAATACTGTAATTAAAAACTATTAAGATTTTCTAAGAACTTGGGGTGCCTAGATAGCTTAGTTGGCTCTTAATTTCTCTTCAGGTCATGATCTCAGGACAGGAGATCAAGAGCTGCATCAGGCTCGCACTCAGGAGGGAGTCTGCTTGAGATTCTCTCTCCTTCTGCCCTCTCCCCCACCCCAAATAAATAAATAAATCTTTTTAAAAAATATTTTCTAAGAACTTATGTCTAGTATGTGCTCAAGAGATATTTGATGAATAATGCCTAATTAACAGTGAACACTATAGCATTTAATAGTGTTAGCATGTGCAGGCTAAGAGTTCCTTTGGTCACACTTTGACATTCAGAGTAATTAGGTACAAATAAGTCCTCCAGTATTTATTTACATGGGTTCACAATGCATCCTGACCTGCCTTTCCTGCTTGATATTCCTTTAATTACCTTTACATAACTGAAGCTTCAAGCAAATGGGAATTTTCAGGCTTCTCCTAAGTTCCTTCATTTATGCTATATTCTGCGCTTAGCATATTTCCCCATTTCCTATTGTCACACCCCCGGGGTACCCCTCTGTGCATCCTTAAATGCCACCTTCTCCAACCCACCTTGCAGGATGCCAGTTCTCTGTTTTGAAACTCATGGTACTTTGTTTCTTTCTTATGGTTCTTATATATTATGTTCTAATATCATCATGCAAGTGCACATACCCAGACATACACATATGCTCATGAACCATTTGAATTCTTTATATCCCCTTTTAAAAGAGAGTGACTTATGAACAACATGTCTCAAAGTATTCATCTAATTTAACTGCAGTACCTCTTAATTATAGGCATAAATTTTGTCCTAATAGGAATGGAAACCGTGCTACCGCTTATTACAATGCATTACATTGTTTAGCCCAGATTATCTGGGTAGTTTACCCAAAGGTTTGTTGAAATTCAAATATATTTAGTTTAAGATTCAACAGCTCCCTCTCGTGGCCTCTGTGGGAAATTGAGCTTGCTGGCCTCCAGAGTTAAAACAGAATTTCATTTTATTTTTAGAATTTTCATTTGAAGTGTTTCTCAATCAATTTAAGTTTTGATGTTAAAAGTTAATTATCACGGGGGCACCTAGATGACTCAGTCAGTTAAGCATTTGCCTTTGATTCAGGTCATGATCCTGGGGTCCTGGGATGGAGCTCTGTGTTGGGCTCCCTGATAGTTGGGAAGACTCCTGCTCCCTCTGCCTGCCGCCCTGCCTACTTGTGCTCTCTCTCTCTCTCTCTCTCTCTCTCTCTCTCTCTCTCTCTCTCTCTCTCAAATAAATTAATAAAATCTTTTTTTTAAGATTTATTTATTTATTATTCATAGAGACACGGGGTGGGAGGGGGAGAGAGAGAAAGAGAGAGAGAGAGAGAGAGAGAGAGAGAGAGAGAGGCAGTGACACAAGCAGAGGGAGAAGCAGGGTCCATGCAGGGAGCCCGACTCGAGACTCGATCCCGGGACTCCAGGATCACACCCTGGGCCGAAGGCAGGTGCTAAACCACCGAGCCACCCAGGGATCCCCTAATAAAATCTTTTTTAAAAAAGTTAGTTACCACCGAATGGTAAATTTTATTTGACATAAAGGTGTCATTTTTATGTGAAGAATAAATAGAGACAGTTATTGGTCAATGGTTTCCATCTCAAATGACTATAAACCTGCTTTTAAAAATTAACATATTTTAATTTAAATGTTAATAAATATTTGATTAAGGTTTAAAAGCAAGTTTTCAGAAAGTCACATATGTTTTTTCATTACACGAGAATGAACATACCTTGGAACTCAGTGACAATATAGAACATTCTATTTTTGCTTTTTCCAAAATTTGGAACAGTATCAATGACAAATAAGTTTAAAAGCTCAAGCATTGTAACTATACAATCAAATGCTCTGTTTGCAATGGAACAATTTAAAACAAGGGACCAAGTAAAATTGCAAAACCTTAAATTCAAAAGTACAGCACTTAACGAGGTCCAAATCCTTCAAGCCACCATGCCTAAGATCCCAGGGCGTTGCTGCCATAAAGGGAAAAGTGACAGAGGAGGTCAAGGTCTGGCTGTGGGTGGGTCTCCACGCTCTGTGGTGGGCTTCCTAAGGAGCAGCCTGCCTCAGCGAAGCGCATCACACGGTGAGAGGCTAAGCTTCAGTAAAGATAAAGTGTCTGAATTCTGGCAGCACACAAAGAGCTCCAGCTGGCCAGAAGGCTCTCCAGAAGGACTCCAGGGACAAAGGGGTGGGGATCCTAACCTCCCCCAGTCCTCCCTGGTTCCAGAGCGGAAGAGAAGAAAGAAAGGGGCATCACTGAAGTCTCCATCTGTCATTGCTAACATGACCTCGTTTGAGAAATTAAAACATCTATTTAACAGAAGCTTTTCTTGTATACAGACTGTCTCTTTCCCTTTGGGTTCCCATTGTTGTCTAGGATTCCAACAATTAATTCCAAGCAACATAAGTTCTGTGAACAGTTTGATGGTTTCCCTTCTGTGATTGTATTTTTGTATAAAATCTGACTTCAGCAAAGCATTTTCATCAATGATATTTATTCTAATTGGGAAGGAAGCACAAGATAAAAGAGGAGAACACATGTATTGCATTGTAAGTTAGATCATCCTTTAGCGTGTGACTTTAAAAATGCTTTAAAATACACATAAATTATTGCTAGGTAAGAGATTTTTTAAAATCACAAGTTTACCAAAAAAGCAAAACAAAACAAAAAACACGTAGAAATTGTACCTAGTTCTATTGCTATTAAATTTGTAGTTTTTCTACAGTATGTTATAAAAATGTATACTATTTTTCTCTGTCATTAATAAAAATCATATATCTTTGGGGCTCCTCCTTCTTTAGAAACACATTCACCTTCCCTGAGTATCACCCAAATTATAATATGCCCACTGAAATCCACCTGGTCAGGGATGCTTCAATATTCTCCTTCATCCTAAATATTAAAAACATTATAAAACAGGCTGAGTAAATTTTTAAGAGTTTATCATAATTTCTCTTCATCTGAATGTACACCAAATGATTTTGAAGTAAGATATTTAAAAAGTATGTGATAATCTATCCACTTAATAAGCAAAAATTTTGGAACCCAAATCCCATTATGTAATTTTTCCACAAACACAAATAGCTAAAAAATTTTAAAAATTCATCAAGTAAGCAAAATATGTTTAAAATAGCCTTTATTTCAGGTCAATAGTAAATGGCAAAATGTCAGGTAAGGTTGATGGTGCGCGAAATCAATGAACTTCAACCCAGCCATCTGATCACCTAGCTAATAAGTTGCACCTTACTTATCATCTACTTGTCTACTAATGGATTGACATCATTGGGTTTCTGACATGTGGATGTAATCTCAAATTGGATTTCCTAAATTATGTATTGCCTAGCTCAGCTAAAGCTTTCCATAAGCTTTCATCTACTTCAGTTGGAGAATAAGGAGTATAAAAAGATATTTCATTCAAGACCTAAACGGCCTTCCTTAGATTCTTTTTTAGTCTTTAGTTAACCTCAATGGGTAAATTATGGCTATAAGCAATGCTGAGATGAAAAACATGATCTTTTGTAACATTTCTATCTGTCCATCAGAAAAGACATTTTGGCCTTACAATCATGAGGTGGTTGTTAATACAACTTAATTTGTAAGAAGACATGAATATGTTATATACATGGACGTGTATACTAAAATGTGTTAAACCCTAAGTGTATATCCATCCAATAAAAAACAAAGAGCCCCAAAACACTCCCAGGTTATTTATCACAATAAAATATCCTAAAAATGTGAGAAATCTCATGTTTGACTCTCCACTGATGTGAGGTGACTCATTTGCCTTTGCTTACAAAATAAAATCATCCCAAAGTTTGCCTACAGATGGATTGGCCACAAGAGCAGAATATTTGGTACCAATACTGCAGATTAATAAAGTTCATTTATGGTATAATTCCTAATTATAGGAAGAGGAGGCCAACCTCAAAAAGGAAGATGTCACTCAAAGGCTTTGATAGAAGGTGAATGTTGAAAGTCAAGAAAAGCATAAAGCTGTCAGTCTGAGTCTCCAGAAGTGTAGAAGAGATAGTGGGGTAGGGGAGGGGACAGGAATGGAAGCCCTTCTTACCAGGTTTGGAGCACTGGAGACTCGTAAGGACAAGTCCTGGAAAAGAAGGAAAAGATGTGCTGTTAGCACACAGATGTGTGAAAGATTGTTTGAAGTTAAATTTGGATGTTAGATCTCTATTTGACCTGAAAAAAAATGTATAAAGAAAAAAATATATACACATACATACATGTATACATTTACATATACACACATACATCTCCAGTGGCCTTAATAGCAGATTTTAATAGCATTGAGAAAATGACATGTTCTACCCAACATACTTGGATTGTGCAGCGGCCTCATGGTTCTGACTGTGTTATTTTATAACTGAAAGCGCTGGGTTTCAAGATCAATGGATTTGATGGTTAAGTGCATGGACTCAAAGTCAGAGCACATAGGGTCAAATCCCACCATTTCTTGCTGCAGGACCCACAGCAATTATGTAACCTCTCTGCCTGGCTTGAAGCAGAATTGAGTGAAAACTATGTGAATTAATGTATAGAAAGGGCTTAGAGCAGGGCTTGGCACTTGTAAACATATGCAAAAGTATAGTTATTTTGGGGATCTGCTCTCCATGGCTAAAAACTGGACACTTTCTCAGGAATCCTTGTTCCTGCATAGATATTTATTAGACTCTCTCCCCTGGCTCACTACTTGGCTCAACGTCTGTAAAGAATTTCTGATCCCCAGTCCCTATGGCCTCATTCCATACGTCCTGAGCTCATCACCATCTCTTACCTCCAGAAACCACCCTTTCCTGGATGTTGCCCGCCACTTCTTAGTTAGGTTCATGTTAATTTATGATCATCATACCATCTGGGTGAATAGAGAGCTGTTCGCTCTTTCGTTCACCAAGCTAACACATATTTAGTGAATGCTGGCCCTGGGTCGGGGTGGGAACAACATAGGTATGAATGAGGCCGGCAATCTCTGCACCCACGTGACTTATCATGTCTTTATTCCCATGCTGGGGGTCCAGGCAGGGTGGGAACAGAACCTCCACCCTATTGCTGGAACTATGTGGCAAACTGCGTACTCCATATTCTGGAGTATCCTATAGGGCTACTCTCTGAACAAGGAGGCAATAAAACTTTTGGAAGAGAGAATACTAGAGGCACAATGGCTCAGAGGGTAAGAGCAAGGGAGGAAGGGAGCTGGTAGAGGGTGCTCAGGCTCTTGGGTTATGCATAGGTTCCTGGGAAAGGGAGTCGGCTCTGGTAGCATCAGTGGTGTCAAGGTCAGCCCAATGACACCTTGGTTGTAGGAATGGGAAGGCAATTTTAGGCTCAATGGTATGAGTGTAGTTTGTATCACTTTCTCTCCCTGCTATTGAAGGATAGATGTTCCAAGTTCTTTCAGCAAGAACTCAAGAAAGCTGAAAGCCATTAAATAAATTAGTGCAGGGGTGCCTGGGTTAGTGAAGCATCTGCCTTCAGCTCAGGTCATGATCCCGGGGTCCTGGGATCCAACCCAGCAAAGGGCTCCCTGTTCAGCAGGGGGTCTGCTTCTCTCTCTCTCCTTCTGCCCCCCCACCCATTCATGCTCTCTCTCTCTTTCTCTCTCTCTCTCTCTCAAATAAATAAATAAAACATAATAAAAATAGAATTAGTGCAACATGCAGGGTGCTGTCAAAAATGGGAAGAATTTCCAACCGGACACTGATGAGAACTGAAACTGCTGGGAAACAGCCATCCCAGCTCAGGAAGGGCAGCTACTGCCCTTCAGAGCTACTAGAGTCCTGCCAAAGGAGGAGCACTCCCAAATCATACTGGCCTCAGCCTGACCAATCAGGAGAAATCACCAGGAGCAGAGTAGAAGGATAAAGCCACAAGCCAAGCCCAACGATTGACAGACTGTAAGAACATCTGGGGAAAATGCACCAAGTGTCTCAAATCCTGCCAGGGGGCAGAAGAGCTTGGATTGGGGCTCCTACTATTTTACTGTAGGGCTCAGAACCCAGACACTTGTCACCATGGCCACCACGTCCTAACACACACACCCTACACCCGCCACATCACCATAGGGCTGGGGTTACAGGTGCCATCAGAGAACAGAGCACCATCAACTCTGCCTCCACATGGGAAGAGGAAGCCAGCACTCAGGGGGTGTAGGGAACACAAAACTGTGCTTTGGCTTCATGATAAAGTCTCACTAAATGATGGAAGTATCCCTTCTAGACGGTAAATTATTTGTTGTTGCTGTTGTTGTTGTAGTTGTTAAGATTTAAAAAAAAAAAAGATTTTATTTATTCATGAGAGACACAGAGAGAGAGAGACAGAGGCAGAGACACAGAGGGAGAAGCAGGCTCCATGCAGGGAGCCCGACGTGGGACTCGATCCCAGGTCTCCAGGATCACGCCCTGGACTGAAGGCGGCGCTAAACTGCTGAGCCACTGGGCTGCCCGGTAAATTATTTCTAAGTAAAATTAACTTTGTTTTAATTATTTAGATTTTGTCATGATGGGGACTCTAGAAGGTTTGCTAGCCAAAATTCATGATCCAAGGGGTACTCAAGAAAACCATCCTGGGAGAGGTGGCACCTGTGAAGGCTGATGAAGGAGCCAGGGCATCGGGCATCGGGGACCAAGAGGACTGCCTGGGGGCGGGGGGAAGTTTGGGAGGAAGGACTTAGAGGCTACAGGTGTAGGAGGTGGTTCCTGTGCTGCTGCTGTGTGGGGAGGTGGCTGCTGAGAACCACAAGTGATTAACAATGATCAGAGCAGAAGCCCGAGCAGCAGGGGGTGGCAACAAGTGCGGCTGAAGAGCTAGACAGATTCAGATGGCTTGCTTGGGGGTTTAGAACCCATCCTGAAGATCGTCAGCCGCCCTGACACGGTCAGATTTGTGCTATTGATAAATCACCCTCTGGGGGAGAAGGGACCTCAGGGAAAGAAATGAGCTGGGAAGCTGGGCATTATCTCTGAAATTCCGTGTTTATTGATCCGCACTGTGAAGAGTTTTCTTAACGTGTCCAGTCCATCTGGTACCTGGCAGGGAAAGGTAACCTGGTAAGGCTTTAACTGACATTCTCAGAATACTTTTTAAAAGAAACATTTAATGGGAGCCTGGGTGGCTCAGCTGGTTAGCAATCAACTCTTGATATCCACTCGGGTCTTGATCTTGGGTGGTGAATTCAAGCCCCATGTTGGGCACCATGCTGGGTATTGAGCTTACTCAAGGAAGGAAGGAAGGAAGAAAAGGAAAAAAAAAAAAAGAAACATTTAATAACTCCATGCATCAGTTTTGGAGTAAGCATTCATCATAGTAGATTTTCTTCTTCCAAGGCCGGTCTTGTTAAAACTCATATTAGGTCATTGTTTAGAAATATCATGTCTTGCTCTATTGAGAAATTATTGTTGTTCTTACCACTAAAATCCAGAGTCATAAAAGCACCAGAAAGGGGGATGGTAGGAGGCTAACACAATGTGTGTAGATTACAACTTCAGCCAGCAGGGTAATTATTTCCTTTCATCTGTCCCACACTAAACCAAGCAGTCTTTCCTTCTAAAGGAGGCCAGTAAGTAACAATGATCAACATGGGGAGGAAGACCTGCATGAGTTTGTCACAAACTAAAAAACTGAGGAAACAGAGGAATAGATGGTTAAACATCGTGTGACTAAAATACTTGAGAAGATGGGGTACCTGGGTGGCTCAGTCTGTTAAGCCATCGGTCCTTGGCTCAGGTCATGATCTCAGCGTCCTGGGATCAAGCCTTGCATGGGGCTTGCTACTCTGTGGAGAATCTGCTACTCCCTCTCCCTCATTCCCTCCTACCTGCTCATGCTCACTCTCTCTCTCTCTCACAAATAAATGAAATATTTTTAAAAAATAAAAAATAAATAAAATAACTGAAAAGACATGGCAGTCAAAAGAACACCTGAGAGAAAATTAATTTTTAACACTTTACATGATTATATTTTTAAACTTTTTTTATAGTAAAAAATGTTCAAGTACGCTAAAAAATAGAGTTGAAATTCCCTCCATGGGGGTACCTGGGTGGCTTAGTTGGGTAAAGTGTCTGACTCCTGATTTCAGCTCAGGTCTTGATCTCAGGGTCATGAGTTCAAGCCCTGTGATTTTAAGCCAAGGAAAGAAAGAGAAAGAAAGAAAGAAAGAAAAGAAAGAAAGAAAGAAAGAAAGAAAGAAAGAAAGAAAGAAGAGAGAGAGAGAGAGGAGAGGGAGGGAGGGAGGGAGGGAGGGAGGAAGGAAGGAGGGAGGAAGGAGAAGAAGGAAAGAAGGAAGGAAGAAAGAAGGAAAGGAAGAAAGAAAAAGAAAGAAAAAGAAAGAAAGTTCCCTCTATGAACCCATCACCCAGATTTAACAGCCATCATTTCACTACACTCATTCCATTAATTTTCATTTTGCTGGATTTTTAAAAAGCAAATCCCAGTCTTCATGCCACTTCACCCCTTAATCATACAATATCATCTCAAGAAGGGCCCATTTTCTTACATAAACATAATACCATTATCATACTGAACAAAAATAGTTAAGTAAGCTCTTGAGTTCAATGGTTGATTTGCTGTAATCTCCAAGTTTACAAATAGGTCGTGTTCCAGAAATTTGGTTATAAGTCATTTTAGGTTTCAGGAAACATTTCCCACAAAAGCAACTTTAACTCCAATGTCACCTGAAATGGAACAATAAAAAAACAAACAAACAAACAATTTTCCAGCTAAAAATGGTAGCAAGTAATGCTTACCGCACAAAAATGTTTTATTTCTATGGAATAACCTGGACTAAACCTCTTTGTATACATTGTTTTTGTCCATCTTTAAAATTCTCTTCTAACTGAAATTGGACAATTAGGATCATCCTAAGAATCTTGCTTCATGCTGCCATACTTCTTTGCGGAAGGTGTTATAGACAAGCGTTTCTCACATCTTAATGTGCATTGGAATTGCCTGGGCATCTTGTTAAAATGCAAATGTTCCTTCAGTACATCAGGGGAGGGGCTCGAAGGTACCATCTACATTGTCTGCTTATGGGCTGTCCATGGATCACCTGGTACCCCCACCCCCATATTCATATGTTGAAGTCCTAAACCCCAGTAC